TTTTTTTTTTTTTTTTTTTTTTTTTTTTTTAAATTATTTCTCCACTTCACGACTTCTGTTTGTCGTCGCATTTACCTGGGGATAATCGCCGTCCTTCATCTGATAGTCGAACACGTAGAAATAGGTCTTGGGCATCGGTTCCTTCTCGCTGTCGGGAATCGGCGCGATATGGGGATTGTTGGGCTTTTTGGTGTGTCGCAGGGTAAAGAGATCCCCGGTCTGCACGAGCGGCGCCACGAACTGCGCATCGCTCAATGCCTGAACGCATGCATCTTTTGTGTTGACGGGATGTTGCACCGTTCGTTCCCAGTCGGTGTATTCATTTACCACCTAGAAACAACAACGAATTCCTATTACATTCGCGCCGTCACGTGAAACATATGACGGAAAATCATTCAAAAATCAGCTCCTCGCTCGCTTCACGAACCAAATAAATATATAATAAATAACCTGTACCTCTAAAATAAATCTTACTTTTGTTAACTTATTGAAACAACTCGCGTGTATATAACAAACAAAGAGAAAACAATGCAAACTCGAGAGAAATTGTATTTTAAACAATTTAATTTTTTTTAAGCAAAAAAACGTTTTTTTTTCTGCAAAAAATAACAAACAGCGCATTCGGTTGTGCGATGTTTGTTTCATTATGCGATCGTAAAAATGTATTATCGCGGTCGTAATCATTTAATTGGTCGTAATTATTAAGTAATGTCTAGAGCGCATCGTTTCTGTGCGTGGACCGATAACGCGTCCAGGCCAAATGGAATTGCATCGTCGCGCGGTATATTTCGATAAAACGCAATGGCACTCGCGTTTCAATCGTTGTGTGGAACGTAACAATTATGTTCCGCGATAAATTCCGCGCAAATGCAACGATACACGTGCGCCGCAAATATGCGCGGCATGTTGCGTAACTCCCGTCCGATAAATATAATTCATCTTTGGCGCGCCGAATTATCTCTGTGTATTGAATGTTGTACCGTGATAAATATCAAAAAAAAAAAAAAGATTTCAAGAGAGAGAGAGAAAACTACCACACGGAATTTTCTTCAACAAAATTAAAAAAAAAAAAATTTTTATACAGAAATCCACTGAATTAAAAATAAAGCCGAAACGTTTGGAAAATAAAATTAGCAGATTTATTTATTTATTGCAAAACATCTTGCAAATGGTTCACACTTGCCCTAACTACAACCGAAAAAATTTTGAAATATCGTTAAGAACCCATTCAAACCAACAACAATATTATTGCAAAAAAAAAAAGAAAAAACAATTAAAGATCTAAGGATTAGAGAATCGTGATTGTTTACGTTGTTTTAAGTAAAATAAATGTGATTTACTCACCGTGTAAAATATCTCGGTGAGATGATAGACGTAGGCGTTTCTCACGTATGTGCGAATAATCCTATCTCTTCTTTCCCCTTCGAATCCTTGCAAGACATCCTTCTCCGCAAACTTCCACAAAGCTTCGCTCGTTGTCACGCCGAACAACAAATCGTACTTGTTGTTACTTGTGATCGGTGCGCCGTGTTCAGCTTTTTTCGAAAGAGGCCTGGAGCCAAACACAAAACGACACGAATTTTGTCATTCGGTCCTACCGAAATAAACATCGCAAACAATTGAACAATTAGCACTTTACTAAAAACTTAACATTTGTTTTTTATCACGTCTACTAAAAGTATATTTATATATGTATATACACAGTAAAAAAAAAAAAATGGTAATTTTAACATTTTTTGCATGTTCCACAGGAGGTCCACTTTAAATTTTACGTTAAAATAACTCATTCGTTGTGAGTCACTTATTGACAAACTAGTAAAGTCAAATAATTGACACAATACTTTACATTTATATTTGTTATTTTGACTGTAAGCGTGATGTAAAAATAACATAAATAATTAAAACTACACAAAACAGTAGTTACTCGTAAGAAATGTTAATAAAACATTTTAGTTTGTGCAATGTGGCCACAGATTTTAAAAATTTTTTTAGTACGTTAAATTGACACTTTGAGACAATCCAGATTAATTGAAATCATTGTGTTAAAAGCGCTTAACCTTCTCGCTCCGGGACTGGTCCATATATGGACCAGCAAGAAAAGCGAACGTAATAGATGTTTATAAGGTCAATTTAATGCACTAAATTTAGGAAAAAAATTGAAAAAAATCCTGGTTACTTCTTTGACCTTCAAAATTAACTTTGAAGGGAGGGGGGGTAGCAGGTTATTATTAACTTTTTCAGCTAAAATGCGAGGTCAATTTTAAAGGAAAAATCCCCGGAGCAAAAAGGTTAAACAATATTCCATTTTTAAATGACATGCAAAAAATGTTAATTTGCGAAGTTAACATAAATTTAACACGTGAAAAGATTAAAAAAAATAAATAACATATCGGTATTATGTTAATTTTACATTGAAGTAATAATCGAAACGTCGTAACGCAAGAAAAGTTCTGACATTTTGACGCACGATTTTTTACTGCGTAACAAAACAACGTTAAATTTTACTTGGAAAAACTAAAGTAAGAAAAAAGTTAATTTTATAGTAAAAAAAAAAAAATAGGTCTTGAAACGAAGCAATTATTGCAATTATAATCCTATTGCGAGAATGCAAATATTACGGCTAATGCAAACGAATCTAATAAGTATGTAGATAACATTAGCCATCTGCGCTAGAGACACCTAATAATCTCGGCGATTGCAGGTAGTACGGAGGAAGATGCAACTTGATTGGAAGTGGAGGATGATAACGCGAACTCGTTCTCCCCGCGATTTCCGGCGCGATCTTCGATTGTAAGTATGCTAATGACGTTGTTGGATTGGGGGAGGTCAGGTCGTTTACAATCGCGTTAATGAACCACGCTAATGTTCCCGCGGGCGCGGGAAGTAACTCGGGCTCGTTTAGCTCCCCCTTTTTCCATTTAACGAGAAAACTCCCGGGATCCGTCAGACGGAAGACGGAAGGCGGAATTATTGTGGAAGCCGACGTTAAGTACGAAACCCCTCTCTCGCTGCTGCCGCAAGAAAGCAAAGCTTGAGCCCGGAAGTGCACACATCAAAATAACTTTTCCGCCGCTTCACGGATTTCCTTTGCCGCCGCCGCCGCCGCGAAAGAAAATGTAGAAATATACGCCGCATTACCATAAAACTCTATTAAGCTCGCTCTACCGGAATCCAAGGATTTTCCCGTTTTCTCCCTCTCTTCTCTCCCCATCTCCCCTTATACCCTTCTTTTCCGCACTGTCTCCAGATTTCATCCGTATCTTCCATTTGCGCTCCGACTACACACCGGAAACAGCCCTAAGCTAAGTTTGGCACAGCTCTAAGAAACCGCGCGCGCGGTGCCAAACACATTTTATTACATTTGTCATCCCTTTTCGTCTCCCCCTCTTCCTATGAAACTAAAAGTTACAAAAACTCTAAGAAAAGTCCAAGATATATTTTTGTTGCAAGTCTTCAAATATCTTTTAAACTCGCGAGCGTTTTTGCGAGAGATTGTTAAAAATTGTAGGATTCGAGTAATTTATAATCTCGAAGACTTAAAAATTGCGATAAAAGAGCACGCTTAAGCGAGCACGCTCACCCGAATCCCTGAAACTCCGGACCGAGATAGGACAGGAGATCTTTCTGAAAATCAGGTTTGATGACGACGCCGTCGACACTCGGACCAAATGCGCTGAGAAACGTAGGCGGTTGAATGTCAACTTGCATCAGCTCTTCCAGACTGCTTTCTCTCAGACAATCGACTATAAGCTCGTTGTCTTTGAGAAGATCATCGGGGATGGAGCAGTTGACGGCTTTGGCCAATTTTAGAGCGTACGATACGGGATCCTCCACCACCGCCCACGACGAAAGGGCGCTGCCCGACAGCAGAATGGCTCGCTTGAACAATCCTGTGAGCAAACAAACGACAAACAATTTTTTCACAGTTAAAAAGTTTTTTTTTTATAAATATGTATTAATATGTATTTTTTATAAATATGTATTAATTAAACACTAATGTAAAGACACACTTAATAGTTTGACTTTTATTTTTTTCGCAAATAATAACGGAAAATTAGAAACAGATCACATTTATTTATTGATCAGAAATATAAAATTTTTCCGAGAAAAATTGTTCGATAACCCGGAATATGTTTTTTTTTATTCTTTAAAGTATGATGGAACACTTTTTTAATGAAGCATGATGGATAATTTGATTTTTTTAATATTTGTATGTAAAAGAGATAAAAAGTAGTGTCAAAGTGATATTGATTTTGAATGTGTGTGTGTGTGTGTGTGTGTGTGTATAAAATTTTTTCTTTACACATTTTTATTCTCGAGAAAAAAGTTACGTTAGCAGAAACAGAGCAATGATTACAATCTGAATATTATACGAATAGATTGTTGAGGAAGAAAATTATGTTGAGACAAAAACGGCACCACGGTAAATGGAAGTTACATCATTACTCTTGGTAAAAAAAAAAAAAAAAAAAAAAAACAGAAAGACGAACCAAACTTGCTCTTGAATCTGAGAAAAAAAACAAGTGCTCGACGCTCCGGAAATTATTCGGAAAGAAAATCGTTCTCGCGTGAAGTCGAATTTATCAAAAAAAAAAAGAAAACAATCAATGCTCAGTGTTATCTTGTCTTAGTCAAAGCAAGAATAGGAACAAAAACAATGCGATTTTATTTTGTGTAAATATGAACTAATTAGTTCTAGAATTTAGCAACAATAGAAAAATAGATTGAGTATTCAAATACCTCGAAACAAAAAAAGCTATGACATTACACGCGCACGCACACACACACACACACACACACACACAGAGGAATTCTCAATTTTGACAAAAAAAACGGGAAATGTCTTCTTCTATCTCAAGTCGATTTTTTTATCGAGCAGTTTATCAGACAAATTAACGTGAGAGAAACAGAAGAAAAGTGGAACGTGCAAAACAAAGAAAAAAAACAAGATGCGAGAGAGAAAAAAAAAGAACAAAAGTTTTTCAAAGGCAAAAGCAGGTAACAACATAATATCTCTATGTCTCGAGACCTGCGTCGCAGAAAAATGGAATTTTTATTTCTATTCTCGTGGAGTGATATACAACAGAATGAAACATCTGCAATAACAGAGAGATACAAGAGGAGAGTCAAGCATATACTTTATAGATCCTTTCCGATCAAAGATTCTCTCGTGCGCAAAACAATAAGATGATGCGAAAATTGTATTTTTGCAAAAAAAAAAAAAAAAATCAAATACAACGAATCTCAAATTTAAATAATAAAATTTGCAAATAAATACGGATTTTATCAAGCGAAATCAAGCGGAAAAAGTTTTATGATACTGTGTCAGAAAAAAAGAGGCAATCAAAAAATATATATGTTATTAATTTTTTTTTCTATAACTTTTATAACATTTTTATTTGAAAGTATTTTTTAATTATTCATGTGTTCACATCGTTGTTTGTACGTACATACGGATTGCGCAACAATCCGAGTCCAGTTTTTTACGGTCGGAGATACATAAGTTTCGTTTTCTCAAGAATTCTTTCCAATTAACAAAATCAAGAAAACTCGACACAAAAGCGCGCGAAACAGTTCCGCGACGGAATAAAAAAAAAAAAAAAAGCGGAAGAAGAAAAACTCTTGTCTCGAACGCGCGTGAATGTGGCTGCGCCCTCCTCATATAAGGGAGGAAAGTATTTTCCAATAGCGTCTAAGCGAGCGAGGGGGAGAGTGAGGCCCCGGTAGTAAGGGACGATATTTCACGCACATAATATCACGGAGCGGAGAAGCGAGGCGGAACGAAAATAGAAAGAGAACAGAAAGGGGAGAAGAGAGGCGAAAGAAGGGGGGTGGCTTTCCCTTATCCTCTCAGCCGTGTCCACCCTCGAAGAAGAGAGGCTTGCCGGTGCTGTGTTAACCGTCGAACGTTAACCGTGAACACGACCACGAAGATGGCCCGCTACTACTGGATGAAGATATAAAGGGAGACAGCCAATATTCTCGGCAATGTGTTACCACGCCGATCCGCGCGCGTGTTCGTTCTCGAAAATATCGCGGATTCTGCAAAATAGCGGTGGAAAAGGGAGACGGTGGGGAATATGGGGGTAGAGAGATATCGGGGAAAAGAAGTTTCAAGCTGATATTCGCGCTGGTTTAAGCTACTTCTCATTTCTGAATTTCTTTTTTCTCTTTTCTCACGAAGGAGAGTGAGAAATGCGTTATGAAGATGGCGCAGCGGTTCTCGCGACAGATGGCACGCGAACGCGTCAGGTTTTCCATTGAGTATTTCACATCGGGAATCTTTTTAACAATTTAATCTCACGATTACGCGAACGATATCCGCAGTTCGTGCAGATATTTATCTTATTTTTTTTTTTTTTTTTTCAACGATAATACGCAGAAAAAGATAAAATGTTATTTAAAACGTTTTATTTTTTTATTTTTCAACTTACAAATAGTTTATTTACACGTGTATCTGTATTAGTATTCAAACGGTTTTAAATATTTACATTTTGTTTACATTTAATATGAGAAATTCTTCTCGCGCTACTTATTTATTTCTGCGTGTTTGTGAAAACAATTCATAAATGTAGCTTTTTTGCGATGAAAAAAAAAAGAAAAACTGGAAAAAACTTGTTCCAAACAAATTTAATAATATTCGAAAAATTGTTTTAAAAATTTTGCCAGCAGATTCGCAGTCTCGCGTAATTTAATATAGATCAATATACTTTTCTCACTCGTAATCGTTCAGAACTTGACTCAGAAATGAAAGAACAAAAACTTATTCTGTTTGTGTGCGTTCCGTACAATCAAATATAAAAAAATAATAAAATACATATAATCGACATATTGCATATAATTAACCAAAGTGAAATAACGCGTTGTAACGAAGCTCATGTAAAACTTGCCACTCTTCAATTATGTATAATGCGAAAGCGCTTTTAATCATTTACGGGACGCGCCGGCGCGGCGTGTTTCTTGAATAATTGCAAGCGCAACATGGCGAACACGGGGGTTCAGAAATTTCAACCGGCTTCGTTCTTCAGAAAATTAATAACGCCTGTCTGAATTTCATAATCTACAACTATAATCGCTTTTAGCTATACCGCGGTCTTCCCAACGTTATCCCGTATTATTGTATATAATTTGACAGCTGCGTTCGGATGTAACATATAAAGATAGAAAATTTCGAATCCAGACTCACACACACGCGCGCGCGCGAAAAAAACATTCGGAAATATTTTTGACAATCGATGAAACTTTAAATATATAAAAGATAGTTAACAATACCAAATTGTTTGTGTAAAAAAATTATATAGGGGAAATCGAGGCACAAAGTAACATCCAAAATAGATTGTAAAAAAAAAAAAAATGTACGCAATATTATGTAATATTNGGTACATTATATAATAGTCACATCCTT